CATCCGTTATGCCTTCTTGATCCTCCTCTACTTCAGATATTTCTGGGTCTCTTGGTTGGCTCACAAATATTGGGGGATCGTCTTCTTCTGAAGAGTTTGATGTGGAATCATTGCTTGATTGAGAGCTATCTTCCATTGTTTCATCGTCTGATGAATTTAGAGATTCTTACCATGTGGTATCTCCTTCTGACCTGTTCCTTGCTGGGAGACATAAAGATCCGGAGTCTTCTGACAACATAGATGAGCGGCTGATAATGCTATCATTGTATAGGAAATTCTACATCATTTTCAGAAGAAATCAGGTAAAACTAGTTTCATGCTTCTTAAATTGGATCTAGAGAAAGCTTTCGACCGACTTGAGTGGTCTTTTGTTCGATTGGCACTCCAATACTTCAACTTTCCCTCGCCCATCATTCAATTAATCATGTCCTGTGTCACTACTTCTTCCCTTTCCATCCTTATCTGTGGTACTCGGACCCCTTTCTTTTCACCTTCACGCGGCATTCGACAGGGAGACCCCTTGTCCCCTTACCTTTTCATACTATGTATGGAATTACTCACTCGCAAAATCAAAATGGCTGTTGATTATCAACTTTCGAAACCCGTCCGTCTTTCCCCAGATGGCCCCGCCCTCTCTCACTTGTTCTTTGCGGACGACATTATCCTCACTTCTACGACATCAACCCGCAGTTGTCATACTATCATCGACATCCTCGATGACTTCAATCGTGTCTCCGGACAAAAAATCAACTTCCAAAAATCAAAAAATTTCTTCTCAAAAAATGTTTCCTCTCAGGATAAAACCTTTGTCCTATCATCTTTCAATATGACTGAAGGTACTTCTTTTGGTAAATATCTGGGTTTTCCAATCTTTACTGAGCGGCCCAAAAAGCGACATTTTCAATTCATCATTGACAACTTTAAACAGCGGCTTGCGGGTTGGAAAACAAACTTCCTTACTATGGTCGGGCGCACAACACTTATTAACTCTACTCTAAATAGCCTCCCCAACCACGTCATGCAATACATTAAAATTCCTCGCTCTATTCTGACTCAATTAGAGCGCTGTCAGCGCAATTTTCTCTAGGGCACCACTCCCAATAAAAAGAAAATTCACCTCGTAAAATGGAGTACTGTCACCCTGCCAAAAACACATGGTAGCCTTGGCATCCAACGCCTATCCCAAATAAATGACACTTTACTTGCTAGTCAAGCCTGGCGTATGCTTCGCAACCCCTCCTCCCTCTGGTCTGCTACTCTCCTCCATAAATATTTTTATCACACCACAAATTCACATACTCGTGGTTCTTTTATTTGGAAAAATATACTCGCGGGTTTCCACCTCTGTCAACCAGGCATCAAATGGCTTATAGGTGATGGTACACTCATTAATTTCTGGTATGATGCTTGGATCGGCCAAAATCCACCGTTGAGACAATGTATCACTGGGCCCCTACCACGTCACTCTCTTATTGATACCGTATCCACTTATCTTACACGCCAATAATGAGACTTCACCAACGTCCCTTTTGAACTACCATCCGCTCTCCTACAGCAGATCCTCAACACATATATTCCCTCTCACTCTACTAACCCTGATTCTTTCGCCCGGACTTTAGATTCTAGAGGCACCTTCACCTCAAAATCACTATATCATCACCTACTCCCCACTTACTCCGGACCGTCCTTTAATTGTCTTTGGAAGCTCTGCCCGCCAAAAATTAAGCACTTCCTCTGGCTGATTAGCCATAACCGCCTCCCTACTGCTAGCCATTATCACCACATAAGCTTCCTCCCAAACGACAATTGCGCCCTATGCCACACCCACCCTGAAACAATGATTCATTTATTCCTCCAGTGCCCAGCTGCAGTCCACCTTTGGTCGCAGTTATCCCTGCTACCAGCAATTACGGCACTTCCGACCAACTTTGACTCTCCGCACAGTTGGCTTCACCATTTCCTTTCACGTACTCACATACCAAATTCCCTAAATATCCCTAATGACATACTTATTCCTTTTACTCTTTGGCACATCTGGCTGGCCCATAACGGTAAGCTTTTTCGAAACCATCCTCAACCCCTTTCCGCGTCTCTTATTCTTCGGATGGCTGCAGAATTCTACTATATAGTTACCCCTCCCACACTACATCTATACGTATCCCTATGCATATCAAGTGGCACCGTCCTCGCCCAGGTTATTTTAAACTTAATACTGATGGTTCCGCTTCGCCACACACTGCCAATGGGGGAATTGGTGGAGTCATTCAAGACCACACGGGTAAATGGCTACTAGGCTTTGCGGGTCATCGATTAGTAAATGGAAGCATATAAGCTAAACTATTAGCACTATACCACGGTCTGAACTTGGCCTTCACCCACGGCTATGCACCCTTGGAAGTTAATTTGGATGCTAACGCCATTATTCCTATACTTCATTCTAATCATCCACTTTATGCTAACATCATCTTTGATTGCAGGTGTCTGATCGTGAGGCTGCATGATCCGGCTATCATCCACACGTACATGTGAGCAAATCAGGTAGCTGACTCTTTAGCTAAACATGGTTTGCAGATGGAGGCTTCCCCAAACATCACAATTTTTGCTCAACCTCCGCCTTTTGTACAAAAGACACTTGAAGATGACCGTTCGGGAACTCTTTTTGTTAGAAACCTACCCCCGCACTGCCAGACTAGCACCGTCGACAGGTTTCTTTGTTATCCTTCTGGAACGGAACCAACTACTAGTCTACCCCCAGAACCCCCTTTTTGTTACGACCCATCCAGTGGTCATCGCCCTAGGATGTTGTGTTTGATGCCTCCTACTCCCTGTAACGTTCTACTTTAATATTCTATAATATTGCATCTTTTGCACAAAAAAAAAGATACTCACTTCATCTATTTTAAAGAAATACTCTTTTCATTTTTAGTATGTTTAAAATTAACACGGTTTTTTAGCACTCCACTTGATGTAATCGCTGATTTTACAGCAGAGATAAACATTAAACGAATAAAAGAAACTCTCACTTGATTGTTTGCAATGTAGTGTGCCGAAAAAGGTTTTGAAATATTATAAGGTCATTAAGAGGTCCGACGTGTGCTAATTATATTTATTTGTATGTGAGTGTTAATTAACAATATGAAATATATCCCATGAACATAATAACAAATGTACGAGATGTATTTGAAGTGATATAGGGCCTAAGTAGATCCCTTGGGACAAGTCAAGTTGGAAATTACATAATAGACTAAAGTTCCAAATGAGTACGCGCAAGACCTAACTTTGGACGAGCATATCTATCTATCTATCTATATATATATATATATATATATATATATATATATATATATATATATATATATATATATATATATAAGGAGTTATGTAGTGAACAACTTATCAAATGAAAGATCTTCAAGTCTAGTTTCTAACGCTTCAAACTGTTCATCATTTGGACATTCCTATGTTATGATCAAATTACCAAAGGCTGGCAGTGAAGTACTGCCATAACGTCCGGGTCCATATTTGAGCTTTGAGGATGAGTGAACTGGGACGCGAAACGTCCGGAGCAACTTTCGAAACCTAGAAATTTGGGCATATAAGTACAAAGTTGGGGAGAGAGTATTTTGAGCTTTGGGGTCTAGGGTTCTTGAGGTCAAGAGGCGATTTTAAACTCAAATCAAGTCCAACCAACTAAGGTAAGTTGTTAATGATATTTTGGGTTGATTCTTACACAATATACATGAGTTCTAATATCATTCTTACATCTAAATACTAGATTTCATCATCAAAACCTCAAGAACATAAAAAAATCACCAAAGTTGTGATTTTTCAAGATTGATCTACTAGAGGTAGTTAGAAGTATTTGAAGCATTTGTTAGAAGTTTTAATGGTTGAAAGATTCGACTGTAAAACTTTAGTTCATGGCATGAATAGTACTTATGAGGAAATGAGAGAGAAGATGAATAGTAATCTTGGCGGTGAAATTGATGAATATAATGAACCTATGGAATTGTTTGATAGCAAAAGCTGGAAGTGATCAACTAAGTAATCACCCGAATTGTATATTTTGTAAGTGTTGATTATGGAAGATGATGAATAGTAACTTGGTGGCATTGGACAATTGTTGTAGTATCATTTATAACTTCGAATGGATATTAAAATATAAGAATGGAGTTGAATGGGCTAGCAAGTGAATCTACTCGGTGATTTGAGGTGTTGGAGGCTTGTAGCCAACTTATGAGCCATAAGTGGATATTGATCAGTATTTTAGGTCATATTTTGATGTAATTAGGATATCTAATTGTAGATATCGACTTGTTGGTGATGTTTGAGAATTTTAATCAACATTGGAACGATGGAAGAGGATTGAAAGCTTGTGAATGTTAATAAAGCGAAAGCGAGGTAAGCTGATTAAAACTACTCTTCTTAAGGAATTTTATCTAAAAGCATGTTTCGAGTTAATGCTTAAGTTATTTGCAAATGTGCTTTCGTGCTTGTGGAGACAAACAAGTATGAATGGATCCATGTACTAAAATATTATGTTGCATATGTAGTGTCATGTTGTTTTATAAAAAAATATTTTAAATCTTGTTGGCAAAATGACACTTAAGGTAAATGTTATAAGTTTTTATCAAAATTTATTGATAAGAATATACATATTTAAGTGCTAAAGATAATTTTTCATAAAAAGTATTTCTTTTGAAAATTGATAAATAGAATAACACTTGTGGTATCTTTTTAAAGGTTGCTGTTAAATTGCTAAACGCTTCAACATGTAAAAGGTTGTTTATTTAATTGATCAAATAGTTTAGATTTTCTATTAATGCTATGATTTGATAAAAAATAGATCATTTGAGGCTACTATGCTATGAATCTATTTTTGGAGTATCAATTGTTTTGTGGTATTCTGGAGTCCTGAGGGGTAAGAATGGAGTGGGTATCCTGGTAGATAGCCATCTTAGAGAGTGGTGGTAGAGGTCAGGCGGGTGAATGATAGATTAATGACTATTAAGTTGGTGGTGGGTGAGTGTATTTTAAATGTCGTTAGCGCGTACGCGCCGCAAGCAGGCTTGGATGAGGAAATTAAAAGGCACTTTTGGGAGGGGTTGGATAACATCGTTCGTAGTGTTCCGCCTTCCCAGAGGTTATTCATAGGAGGAGATTTCAATGGTCATATTGGGTCGTCTGCAGGTGGTTATATTGAGGTGCATGGCGGCTTCGATTTCGGGGAGCGGAACAGAGGGGGCACTTCGATGTTGGACTTTGCCAAGGCATTTGATCTAGTGATAGCGAACTCAAGTTTTCCGAAGCGCGAAGAGCATTTGGTTACTTACCAAAGTTCGGTGGCGAAGACTCAAATTGACTATCTCCTCCTCAGGAGATGCGATAGAAGGTTGTGCGAGGATTGCAAGGTTATCCCAGGTGAGACCCTCGCAGCGCAGCATAGGCTTTTGGTGATGGACATTGGTATTAATGATAAGGAGGAAGAAGAGGCTAGTACGAGTCCGTACGAGGATTAGGTGGGGCGCCTTGACTAAGGATAAAGCTCAGGAGTTGGAAGGAAGGTTATCGGCAATGGGAGCTTGGAGAAGTAGTGGGGATGCAAACACTATGTGGTCGACGATGGCGGACTATATAAGGAAGGCGGCGAGAGAGGTGTTACGAATATCTTCGGGCCGCACCGGTGGCCACAAAGGAGACTGGTGGTGGAATGTAGTTGTCCAAGGTAAAGTGGAAGCAAAGAAGGCGGCTTACCTACGGTTAGTAGGGAGCATTGGTGAGGAGGAGAGGAGAGAGAATAGTGAGAGGTATAAGGTAGCTAGGAAGGAGGCGAAGATGGCAGTCACGGAGGCTAAGACTGCAGCTTTTGCTCGTCTGTATGAGGAACCAGGGAACAAAGGCGGGGAGAAGAAGTTATTCTGACTGGCTAAGGTGAGAGAGAGGACGGCTCGGGATCTGGACCAAGTGAGGTGAATAAAAGATAATGACGGCAAAGTTTTGATAGGGGATGACCAGATTAAGAGGAGGTGGCAAACCTACTTTCATAAACTTCTAAATGAAGAAGGAGATCAGGATATTGTACTAGGTGAATTGAGGAATGCCGACAATCCCCATGAATTAAGTTATTATAGGGACATTGAGGTCGATGAGGTCATGGAGGCGATGCGTAAGATGAGAAGGGGCAGAGCTACCGGGCCAGACGAAATTTCGGTTGAACTTTGGAGGTGTGTGGGTAGAGCAGGCTTGGAATGGCTTACTAGGTTGTTTAATGTTATATTCAAGACTAATAGGATGCCTAAAGAGTGGAGGTGGAGTATAATGGTTCCGTTGTATAATAACAAAGGCGATATCCAGAGCTGTAACAACTATAGGGGTATCAAATTACTGAGTCATACCATGAAAGTTTGGGAGAGAGTGGTAGAAATGAGAGTGCGAAGGACGATGTCTATTTCAGACAACCAGTTCGGGTTCATGCCGGGGCGATCTACCACAGAAGCTATCCACCTATTTAGGAGGATGGTAGAACAATACAGGGATAGGAAGAAGGATCTCCACATGGTGTTTATTGATCTGGAGAAAGCGTATGACGGGGTTCCTAGGGAGGTCTTATGGAGCTGCTTGGAGGCTAAAGGGGTTTTGGTTGCCTACATTAGGGTGATTAAAGACATGTATGATGGAGCTAAGACTCGGGTTAGGACAGTAGGAGGCGACTCCGAGCATTTTCCGGTTGTTACGGGGTTGCACCAAGGGTCTGCGTTCAGCCCATTCCATTTGCCCTGGTGATGGATGCACTAACTCATCATATTCAAGGGGAGGTGCCATGGTGCATGCTATTTGCTGATGACATAGTTCTAATTGACGAGACACGAGGCGGCGTCAACGAGAGGCTAGAGGTTTGGAGACATGCCCTTGAGTCTAAAGGTTTCAAGTTGAGCAGGACGAAGACGGAATACCTCGAGTGAAAATTTGGGGTCGAGCCGACGGAAGCGGGAGTGGACGTGAGGCTTGATTCTCAAGTCATTCCCAAGAGGGGTAGTTTCAAGTACCTTGGGCCGGTTATTCAGGGGATCGGGGAGATCGATGAGGATGTCACACACCCTATAGGGGTGGGGTGGATAAAGTGGAGGTTAGCGTCGGGAGTCCTGTGTGACAAGAAAGTGCCACCGTTACTAAAAGGTAAGTTTTATAGAGCAGTGGTTAGGCCTGCCATGTTGTATGGGACTGAGTGTTGGCCGGTTAGGAACTCACACATCCAGAAGATAAAAGTAGCAGAGATGAGGATGTTGAGGTGGATGTGCGGGCATACAAGGATGGATAAGATTAGGAATGAAGATATTCAAGAGAAGGTGGGTGATCGCTGCCGACTCAACTCTACACTAAGGTAGGAAGAGCGGGTTGCAACAGCTTTTACACGAATAGTGGTTCGGGATCGAATTTCCACAGGGAGCTAGTAATGGAGTTGTATTGTCTGTTTAGTCTAGAATTGCAGTTGTGCTTCTAATATCACTTCAAACATCCTTGGTTTTGATTTTTATATCTACTATTATAAGACTAATGATTGAAGCTAAATTATGCTAAGGAAATATTGCTAAGTTGTAATTAATATAGAGAAAGACACTAGGGTCGTGGCATTGCCTAGGTGGCTAATTAACGGGTAGATGCTACTAAGGATAGATTGACATGTTTAGGGCTTATGCTATAACCGTTGCACAATTGTACCCACTCTCACACCTCTCGGTAGAGAGAGTGATTTTGCCCAATTGACTCTCTCGGGACCAATTGGGTAGGCCAATTAGACCAAGCAACTAGGGTTCAAGTGGGGCGATTAATCTCTCGAGGTTTAACCCGTTAATTGGGACTACCATTTCTCATGGGTTCATCCCAATTCCTTGTTGGGTCAATTTTGGGGTTATAGACTCTCTTTCTCAAGAAGAGTTAAACCCACCAAGCTAGAATCAGTGTTTGCAACCACCAATCCTTAATTAAAATCTAAAATTAACCCAAATAGCAAACACCCAATATCAATCTAGCCTTAGATGGCAACACTCATCAATTACCCACACTAGGGTTGAGCCACAACCCTAGCTACTGAGTTTAGCTACTCATGCTAGATGCAAAAATTAAAGAAATAGATGAAGAAGTAAACATATTAATTAATTGCAAAGAAGAAAATACAATATTGAAGAGTAAGAATGCCAAAAATGGATAAACTAGGCGTTCTCACGAGCTCAGCAGCTTCAGAAAAACAAAACTTAACCTAAAACAGAAAAATGTTCTATTTATACTGGGCTGGAAAAATTGGACAAAAATACCCTTGCGGGGTCAGCGCGGACCGCGCAAACATGACCGCGGCCGCACTGGATCTTGAACTCTTGGCTTCTGCTTCTCTGAAGTTGAGCACAGCGGACCGCGTAAAAAAGGCAGCGCGGCCGCGGTGAAAATTGGCGCGGCCGCACAGAATTGAGCGCGGGCCGCATTGCTTGGAAAGGGTCAAAACTAGGCTCTCTGAATCTCTGCTCCGCGGACCGCGTAAAAGTGTAGTGCAGCCGCGGAGCCTGACCGCGGACCGCATTGGATTAACCGCGGCCGCGTAGCCTCCCCTTGAATTTTGCCATTCTCTGAACCTCCTAGTGCGGCCGCGTTCACAGTTGCGCGGTCCGCACTAGGGCCTCTTTTCCTCAACTTCCTTGGTCTTTGACACTTGAGCAAGTTTCACTCCTTTCTGAGCCGATATTTGACTTTCGTTGCTTTGTCGATCAAACCTGCAATCAAGTGCAACTTGTGAGCGTTTTGAGACCATTTTATAGCAATTTTATGACAAAAGTGTAGGCAAGTATGTGCATAAAACACGTTAATATTCTAACTTATCAACTTCCCCAAACTTAAGCCTTTGCTTGTCCTTAAGCAAACAAAATAAGACCCACCCCTTAAAGGAAAATCCACATAATTCCAGCCATCCTAAGGCAATCTCAACAAGCATCAATTGGGACTAACAATTGCCCTCAATACGAATGCATCATTAACACATTTAACTTTTGAAATACCATGGATCAAGTGTGACGCAAGAGCATCAAGAGTTGACATATTCCATCAAAGAGCTTGTCTCAATTACTTTGGTCATTGTGGAACCCAAACTCACACGTCCTCAACTCTCCCTAAGCGAACCTCATCTTTTAGAGTATTAACACACAAATCGAGGTTGATGGAGTTTCACTCATCTCTCTCAAGAAGAAGGTCACAAGTCCGGCTTTAGGTACCATATGCTTGCCCCTTATGTAAGTATCCACTAATATAGGTTTCCTTCAACTCAAGATCCTATAGGGCTTTTGTGGAGTCATTATGAAGGCTGTTGGGTAAGGGTAGGACATGTTTTTATTCAAATGGGTTCAATCTTCCCTTAAGCACTTCTTTTGATTCATTATGGCACAACTCTTTTGACTCTTTTGAGTATTTCACTTCTTTACAAGGGGTTAGAGGGACACATTATCACTCTTTCTTATGCAATTCAAAATATTTCTCCTTTTTCTACTTTTTCCACACCTTTTTCTTTTCACTTTTGTTTCCTTTGACTCCCTTTTTATTCTTGTTCACTTTGAACTTTCTTTTTGTCTTTTTC